TTTTTTTGGAAGAAGCAATAGATGCTTGATTGACTCACTTTTGACATTTTGGAAAAAAATGTGGAACTAATTATGTGATGCCATGTGGGTAATTTAAAGTTGGATGGTTATTGATTAAAGAAGTGACAATTGGACCATAAAAGAAATAAACCTCTTTATGTTGTTTTAAACTTGACAACCTTGTTTATCGCCACATTAACTCTATATATGCTTACAGTATGGTTATTCAATACTATATATCTATATGTAACGCTGTATGTATGTGTTGTTATGCATAGGTACGTCAGGATAACGATTGTCGAGAAGCTTCGAACTGAGGTTAAAATCAAGGAATTTAAGTTAGCAAAACAGTATCTATATGAATTTCCAAATAATCGTCACATATGGTTTCACCTGAACGGTGTTGCCAATATGCTTGGTGATCAAGTGATGCTTGATGAATTGAAATTTGCTTGTGATGTTATCGAATTGGACCCACAGAATCCTTTTGCTTGGGAGCTCAGACATAATATGATTCATAGCATTGGAATCAATAGGGAATGTCTTATGAAAAAAGAAATGCGTTTTCTGGATCAAATGATGTCTGAGGACCCATCGAACACGTTTGCATGGTCTTACAGAAGTTGTATTGCCTTGCTGATGAGTAATGATATAAGGGGGAATATGGAACCGTGGGAGACCAAACTCTCGAGCATACAAGAAATATATAGTAAAGAGCTGAAATTTGTTAAGAGTATTCTTTTGAAGTCTATGGAGAACGGCGACGCCTGGGCATACAGAAACGAGATTGTTACTTGTGAAAAAGTATGCAACATTGAAGAGGAACTGGATTTGGTGAATAGAATCGTACTCAACGATCAAAACAACAAGTTTGCTTGGTCGTGGAGGCGATATGTTTTTGAGTGCACTAAGAAGATGCCTACTAATCGTGAATTTGATTTTGTGAATCATTTCTTAATTGAGAATGATGAGAAGAATCAGTGTGCTTGGAATCATAAACAGGTAAACTTCTAATTTGCAAGCATTACTTCGTTGTTTCATTATTCATTTTTTTTTCCATCTCTTACAAATTGAATAGTTACAAGATTTTATTTTATTTTTAATCTGCAGTGGCTTCTCTTGAAATTTGGAAGATGGGAAGATGAAATCAAATTTTGTAGCGGATTACTCTTGAAAGACGTAACAAACGAATATGCTTGGTGTCAGGTAGGGTTTTGGATTTATTGGTCTGCTGTGCACTGTCCCTATTTGTGCCATGAGTTGTGAACGCATGTTTATTGGATTTGATCTATGGACTGGAGCAATAAATAGTTGCTGCATGTTTTATGCTCTTAATTCTTGTGTATCTGGAGGACCAATGTTTGAGAATATTGTGTTAGTAATGCTTTGTTCATATGCTGTGTTTGCAGAAAAGGCTTGTGCTGGAAAACTGTGAGACAAGAGAAAGCTTCAAAAAAATCATGGGGGAAGAAGTTGATTTTGCTATATGGTCGATTCTTAAGGAGCCTGACAGTGAATATCCGTGGTTGTATCTTAGAGAGCTTTACCAGAAAACAGAGTCTGTGTTCGATGATGCTGCTATGGATAGTGTTCTTGAGACGATCCTGTCGAATGAGGTAGAATCAGAATTTCCTTCGAATGAAGTAATTATTAATGCATTGGGCACCATATTGAATTTTAAGAGCAAGCATTATGAAGCTAGTCAAAGGATTAGAGAGTTGATAAGAGTCCTGTGTTGTCGGCTCTTGTGTCTTGATGTGGAAGATTATGATGCCAGTTCGGAGGCCGACAGATTCTGGAATGATACATCCCCACTTTTCCAATTTATGGATCCAGATTATGACTCTGTGTGGGAAGAGCAATTGAAGATACTGGCTGCACCTATAAGCTCAGCTTGACCGTGTGGTTCTGGATGCAGGTCCTATTATAAACCTAGTATTGTTCACTAGTAAAGTGACAGTCTGAATTTTGTACCTTTTTTTTTTTTCTTTTTTGGTTGAACATACATTCTATAAGGCATTGTAATGAAGTGTGCTGAAATGATGATGTCCTTAAATGCCTTCAGAATTTTTTATTATTTTTTTTTTTTTTTGGTTTTTTATTTACCACTTGGACTTATATTAATAAAAATATAAGAATATAATATTAATTAAAAGTTAGTGAAAATAATGTAGGACCTATAAAAAAATGAGATTTATGGGATTTATTGTTACTGGATGTATACGAGTGTAGCATAAGTTTGAATGAAAAATTGAATGATGTGGCATGTTAGAAAAATTTCAAAAGAAGTTTATGGGTAAGTATTTTCAAAGATGATCTAATATCCCTAAAAATATGTCACATATGTGTCACATCTCAACAAACATCTAAATTATGTGTCAACATTACAAGAAAATTGAAGGAAAAAGGGCTCACATAAAGTAAAAGGGTATACTTCTTGAAAAAAAAAAAAAAAAAAATGCTTCTTGATGCACGATTGGTGACTAAAAATGAAAAGGAAAACCAAAAACGGTCTAGACAAAATCACTTCATGGACACCAATGAGATGTAGCTTTGAAGAGATTAGTTCTCACATGACGATACAAATACACTGAAAACATTTTACATTCTTTTCCTTTTTGTTCTCTTTTTCTTTCAGACGGAACATCCGGCCCTTTGATGTGGTTCCATGTTGCGAAGCACAATCCGAGCGAAGATTTTGGCTTCGATAGGAGCACAAGCAGCCGCAGCCGAAGCACGAAGCACGCGTGGGGCCCCCGAATTCTGAAGGAGCTGAACATGAAGCCCGGTATGCCGCCCTCCCGGGATGGTAAACTGCATTTCAAAAACAAAAAGCTTGAAATAAGAATATATGTTGATACAATTTGGGTGGTTCAAAGTTTTGAACTTTGATGAAAACGGTTTACTATATACGGGAACAAGAATCTAAATGTAGAACTAGAGATATGATTGAAAGAAAAAGGGAACAAGAAACTAACTTCCGAAGCAATAAGAAAGAACAAGAAACGGTTCTTATAACATGTTGAGATCTCTTCCCTAAGACTTCCCAGACCCAATCTTAGTTTAACTTGCTGAGGGTAGAGTCCTAAGGGTAAAAGTCCTCTTCTTAAGCAACGGTTCTTTTATCCTTTTTAGGTAATTTCAGGACTACGGTGTTTTTTCGGATTGTCCTTACGAAAAATCATGTGTTGTAGTTTCTTTCACGTTCGACTGTAGGTATATGCATTTTGTCTTTTCCTTTGAGTGTGAGTGAGTGAATGAGTAAGAGAGAGAGATAGAGACAGAGAGAGAGAGAGAGAGAGAGAGAGAGAGAGAGAGATTATTTGCTATTTGCCTGAAGAAGAGCAAATGCAGCACATCCCTTTAGCGTAGGGGAAGGGTTACGTAGCATAGTAACAAATCTCCCGATTTCAGCACCACTGAATGAAGAAAGAAAACAAAAGAACGTGAGTTATTGAGGAGAAATAAAAGATAAAATAAAATAAAATATATTTTCCTCTTAAAAGTTGAGGAAAGAAGAAACCTGCATCTGAGATGGCCAGCTTCTTGAATACGAGCCGACTCGGTTACTTGCGCCAGCGGTGCAGGTGCAGACGAGGCTGCTGCAGAGGCAAATGCTTGAGGGTCCGAAAATGTCATCACAAATGCATCTATATTTTTCATAGCTAATCTTCTAAGCCCTTCTAACTTCACACTTTTGGAAATGCCCTCACCCGATGTTCCCACAAGTGCAATTTCATCCATTCTTGAAAACAAACAAAAAAAAAAAAAAAAAAAAAAAAAAAAAAAAAGAAATCATAAAAATCTGAAATGATATATACCTCTATCATAATTCATAAATTAACCATTTTCAAAATAATAATAACAATTATAATTTTTCATTTTGAGTGTGGAAAAAGTACCTTCCATCGAACATATAGGCAAGTGCCAAAGCAGACATAAAACGAGCCATTTTCGATACAGACGAGGAACAAAGATGAACTAATGCAGGCACACCTCCTTCTTCTACAATACGAAGAGCATTGCCCGGGTTGAAAGCAAGATTCCAAAGAGCCCCAGCTGCAGTCTCGTGCACATCCTGAGATTATTTAAATGCAAAAAATCTGAAGATCAGTACATTAGGCCATGTTTGGACCGTCAAAATATCAAAATCAAGCCCGATTAGTAAAGCTACATTGTGTAAATAATTATGGTAAATCATAAACAACTAGCAAGCAAACGACACATGGAGGAAAAGGAGCAAAATGTAATGCAATAAAAATGTAGAAGACAATTTCAGAAAGCTGTATATATATAACTTACCTCAGAATCAGATTTGGCTAGTGCTATTAGTGGTGCCACGCCTCCTTGTTGCCCAATTGCAATGCTATTATTAAAGAAGGGAATGTGAACATAATGCAATTTACAGGTTTTGGACTTGAAATCTACCAGTAACTCGAAAGAACAATCAACATAATATAGATACTAAAACGTTGCTGTATATGATTTTTTAGATAATAAAAGGAATTAAGTAATATCTTCTATTTCCGTTTTTCTTCTCCTTCGTGAAATAGGTATCTTCTGCAATCTTACCTATTTGCTTCTGAGACAGACAATCCCCAGAGAGCACCTGCAGCCCTCTCCTGAAGCCCATGAGACGAATTTGCACTCGAATGCGCTAGAGCAACCTAACATCGACCCACAAATATAAATTAATATAAATGATGAGCTGGAAATATCTTTTCCACAATATTGACTTTCATTAGCTTTGCAATTACAGAAAGGAAAGAAGTAATTTCTCCATAGTTACCAGAACTTGTTCCTTTGATTAACCACAGAGATGTTGTCGGCAGATTATAACATAACGAGTCCGAAAATTTGAAATTAGTAAGAGTAAAGAAACATTTCTACCTACTAATGCTAACGCTAAGAGCTCCACACTTAGGATCAATAAGTAATGTGCAGACGGCAGTTAATGATTATTTGTGATGAGAGATGAAAAGAATGGAGCCAACGGATAAAAGAAATGATAAATTTTCCACTCCTTGATGTGCGTGTACTTTAAGTGCCTAAGAAACAGACAACTAACCGAGAAAAGCAATACAATTCCACTTAGATAAGCTACCAGCAATGATTCTTCCTCTCGACTTTATATTATGCCTCTTAAGGAAATGCAACTAACCAAGAACCGCACATTTGGATGACTATCTAAACATCTATCACAAATTCTTTACTAATATGAAAAGCACATTTGTAGAAACAAATCATGGACTTCTTTACTAAACATGCTTAGTAATATCTAAGCATGTATGAAAATAGACCTGGACTTCTTTATTAATATCATCACAATTCACAAAGTAGACATAAATTCTAGGTAAAACCCAAATGAGCTCTTAAATGCAATGTGATATGTCATAATATATAAATGCGAGCTAAAAGTGAAAAAACTGAAATAGGTGATTGATATTTCTCCATTGTTGTGATATTCAAATAAAATCAAAAACTCTATAAAGTAGCATAGGGTAATGATACCAGAATCAATAATCCAAACATAAAAGAAGATAGAACTACAATTAAGAAAGCTTAGTGAGCACGAAAAGCAAAAAATGACTTGAAGAAACTTTCGTTGAGACATTTTTTTTTTTTTTTACTGTAAAGTTATCTAGACATAGTCAGCTAGTAGCAAAAGTGAAAAAAATTGCCTCATTCGACTTGGCTGGCGTAAATTGGCTTAATCTTAACCTTGAACCAAGTATAAAATATAAATTCTGAACAAGTATACTGGAGCTCCCTAGAATTCATTGATAATTGAGTGCCATACCAAAGCCTCAACTCCACCAGCTGCTGCAATTGCTTCTCGATTTCTGTCATCAAAGGATAAATTCCACAATGCACCAGCAGCTTCTTGCCTGTAGATTAACTAACATGAGTCATGTTTTTTTATTCATGCACATTTTTAGCAAACACCACTTGGAACTGCATAAATTTACATCCCACAAATATGTGAACAAACATAGAACAAAACCTGCAAAAGAAATTATACACACACACACTCACATATATCTAGATATAAGATATATATAACCTGACACCGTCATGAAGGGAATGTGTAAGTTGAACAAGGGCTTCGAGTGCTCCTGCTTCTTGCCCAACTGTAGCATTATTGTTATTACTATCCCCATGGGCGGCCAAATTGGCCAATGCTCGAGCTGACTGGACAATAAAAATCAAGAACATTGTTCGAAACTGTTTTTAACACAGAGGGCTTTGCAAGACCAAATGATTGACTATAGATAGATGTAGCAGTTAAATAGCATCTGACAAGACGAAACAGAGAAGAGGGATTGGCAACAGAGGAAGTGCTGATGAGTTTCTCAACAAATAAACTTGGAAAGACGTTGAAATTGCTAATCAGCTTAAAATTCATATGAAAGCACCCTTTTGCAAGAAAGAATTTGATCTGATGTGAAATTAACCTAGTAGACTGCATCTAAATTATTTAATCAAGTTTAAATTAGTACACATAAGGAAATTAGATAAATTCTTATGCCACCTTATGCAGAGGAAAAAAGAAACCCCTAGGAGGCATATGGTCCCACATAACATCACAAACCATGGCAGATAAACGATAGAAATAGTTTCTGGTGGCCCACAATGAACAGAGATCCCAACATGCAAAAAGATTGCCGTTAAAAAATATGCAATAATAATTCTTTCACATCCTAATAGAACAGTTAGCCACCTGCTCTTGCACACCCTCGAATTTGCAACTCTTAGCCAGCTTCACTAAGGCATGCACACCGCCGGCTGAAGCAACTTCCAGGCTGCATTTATCATCCGCAGCCAAATTTGCCAATGCCCCAGCAGCACGTTCCTTCAAATCAATGAACATATTATTATCAACCTAGTCACAGTTTCTATCATAGTAATTACCATACAAAATGAAAACAAACACTGGATTATTATAGATAAACATACTAAAACTCCTTCACCACCACTGGACATTGACCACTTAAAGATAAGGTCAACCAAAGCTTTTACTCCACCAGCTACTGCAATAGCACCCTACAAAAAAACTTTCTTGATAAAAATCTGAGGATTTGAAGCATTATAAATCTGAGTTTTAATATTAACAGGAAAAGAAATGAAAAAACCTTGTGATCTTCACCAACAGAGAGGTTCCAAAGTCCTCCGGCAGCCTCTTCAGCAACTAACCTACTCACAGACCTCGCAAGATTTACAAGGATGGTGATGCCTCCTTCTGCTGCTACAGCTTTGGCAACATTAGCATTCACTGATAAGTTTGCTATTGCCTGCATACGAAAAAGAAACTTTGCATTATGTAATTTCAGCCGTATAATTTAATTAAAAAAGCTTGAAGAAAACACCAAATAAAGCAAAAACTGGATATAAAGCACCAACAAGGAGTAAGTAACCCACTCACAAGGAGCATTCAGTAATATGATATCACTCCGAAATCTCAATTCTCAACAGTAGGGAATAGGAGGCTCTACGCTAACAATCCCTTTAACATCTAACAGTAGATCAAAAAACAGGAAATATCTGTCCCTGAGGGCGTGCTTGGAATGTATCCGCTCAAAACGAGTTTTTTTGGTTAACCAAGGTTATTTTGAAAAAATCGTTATGGCCGTTGTTAATTGATTTTGAGTTTGTATTAAAATAATATTTAAAAAATAATAATTAAAGTTGATTTACTGTAAAAAGTATGAGAGAGATGATGTAAAGATGATGATTGGTTGATATAATTTAATTATATTGATAATATTGAGGATAGTGGGGTTGAGTTAAAGTCGAGTTAGATTTTGAGTATGAATTAAGTATGAGTTGAAATAATTTATAGACACACACCCTCATGAGCCAAGAGACTACATTATTTCCTTTCACCTTCCAAAGAGCAAGAGTTACCATATTATATTCACAACAACATAAAATCATCTTATAGCTTTAGAAGCCAATTAAACTCGAGGTTCAACACACACCACATAAAATAGAACCAATGAAAAACCAGAAATATCACCTTAGCTGCCTCAGACTGAAGTCCCTCCCTCCATGACCGAGCAAGATTTAGCAGATGCCTTGTGCCACCATCTCTCATTACTGCCTCAGCCCTTCCCGTGTCGATACTCGCATTCTCGTCATCAATCACTACAAAAGTCGCAAGAGCCGTGGCTGCCCTCTCTTGAACTTCATCCAGCGGGCTCTGCATGAAACCAAGCAACAAGGCAGTCCCTTGGTTGAGCCAGAAACTATCCAAACCAGAAGGATTACTCATAGAAATGCGAAGGAGAGCACCGGATATCGTCCACTCGAGCCAACTCATAATCTCATCGATCTTTTTATCGCCGATTTTAGAGTTTCTCCAGTCCAGAAAACAATTCCCGTCACTTTTCGGGTTATCACCAACCACTGAAGCCACTCCTTTGAGAATATCTGTGAAGACAGCCAACAGCACTTTTCCCTTGAGATTCTTGTTCGAGGCAAAGCTCGAGTCCTCCTCGAGCGACGGGCAATTCAAGGCGCACAAAACCTTTAGGCTGGCAGAGGATGAGAAAAAACGGGTCACGGTCGATGGTTCAATATCCGTTCTGGAAACATCCAAACCAACCAAGTTCGGAAGGCTTGTCCAGTTCTGCAAGACCAAGTCCCATTGCAGGTTTGTAGTCCCGGCCACCGAAAGGAGTCGGACGGACCGAACAGTCCCCAGGGCATATTCGTCTATTTTCTTGCAGTCTATGAACCCGATATCAGTCAAAAGGTGGCAGTTACTCGCCAGAGCATCGATTGCCCCAGCATTCACGTCATGAATTCCTGAGAGTTGGAGTTTTCGGAGCTTTGGGCAACAAATGGCAACTGTCCTTATGGATTCGCTTGTGATCTTATCACAAGAATCAGGGCCGATGACGAGGCACTCGAGGGACTCGTGTCGGGCCGCCAGCATGGATAGAATTGCATCGGTCATTCTCCGACAGCTGTCCCCGGTGATCTCCCGCAAGTTCCGAGCCCGAAGATTGATGATGGCTTCAGCTGATTCGGGCCCACGGAATCGGATTTCACGGAGGCTTTCACACCGGGAGGCGAGGGAGGTGCCCGCCGAGGAGTCAAATTTATGGGCCCGGAGATCCAAGGCCCGCCACAAGCACGGAGATTTACCCAAGGCCCGCCACGTGCCACAGGTGGACGACAGGCTGGCACGGTCCCGATAGTTCAGGCATGAAAAGAACTGAATTACTGTGTCATCGGGCAACCTAGTCCAGTCGAGCAAGCCGCCATTATCCGAACCAATTTTCTCATCAATCTCAGGGTAGCTTTCCCTGTCTCTACCCTTCTTGGCATACTTCCTCCTCACTCTCCTGCTCATGAATGGATGGCTTCGAAAACTAAAATCGCCCTGACAATTGGGAATTCTTAATACACGCACGGCTGGAACCAAAAGCTAAATCCTTTCAGATATGACTTTACAGAAAGTGGACTCTTTTCTCTCTCAACTATCCTGACATGTGGACATTGGACAACAAATGCATACACACTGTTCTAAGACCGATCCCAATTGACCCACGACTGCAAGAATGAAGCCCAACAATTTTCTGAAGCGAAAACCCACCACAATCCCAGCTGAAACAAAATGACTAGGTTTCTCTCAAGGCCATTGATTAACAAACAGAAAACAGAAAATTCGAACAACGTCAATAACTTCAAAAACCCAAATCCTACAAGCGAACGTAGCTTAAAAGGAAATTCCCCCACAACGTCGCAAAGCCCTAATCCTTCAAAGAGTGAGACAATTTGCTTATGCGAGCTCCCTAATTTTAACGGCAAATGAGGATACACTAAACGCTCAATAATCTGGGCTTCAGATATGATAGAGTGAGTAAGGTCAAATTACGGGGCAAGAGCGTTGATTTCGTTAGCTAGCCTTCAAGGGCTCCTGGCAAACTTCTAAATCTTCAGTCTTGGCATTAAATCTATCGTCTTTTATGACATTCAATAAATTTTATTACATCCGCAGAAATCCATGAATACACACAGATGGGCAAAAGGGAAAAAGGAGAACAAAAAAAAAAAAAAAGAAAAAAGAAAACAAGCGGTGACCTATATATGCATATGATGTCCCTTTTCTTGGCCTTTAGAAACGATGATGCTGTATATGCGAGTATAATCAAGAGACTATATATATATGTATCTATCTATGTATGCAGATGGGAGAGGTGACAGACAGAGAGAAAGCATCGTACAGAATTCAGGTCAGAGTATAATTATCAAAGAGAGGTGAGAGAGAGCAAAGGGCAAAGCCTAAAAAAATCATCACTTGTGAATTGTGATTTGTGACTTGTCCACTCCTCATTCTATATATCTCACAATGTGTCACATGAGCACACAATGTCATTATTATATATGTCTCTCTCTTCCCATGGTGTGCCATAGAAATCTTGTAATAATATGATAGATTAGGATAAATTAATGATATTTTGTTGTGTAGAAAGAAAAAATTCAATAAAAATCAAACATGTATTAATACCTGTTGCAGTTACATTGAGATAGTCAAGTTGTGGGGTTAAAGTGGATTGAGTATAAAAAATTTGAATTACTCTGGTTAGACAGTTGTAATTTTCTAACAAATATATACTATATATTAGCAAACTAGTACTTACATTATGAAAGATTTTATTGTGCCATCAAACCTTCAAAAAATTTTGGTACTTGCAAATATAATGAAACAATCACCAGAGATGTAACTATGTAAAACATGAATCCAAAAACCACAATGCATTTAACTTCGAAGCCAAACATGTCCTGTGAAAGCGCAAAACCGAATTGCGTCTTCACGACTCAAACCAAAAAAAAAAAGAAAGAAAAAAAAACCGCCAAATTCTTAATGAAAACAAACTTACGACCCTCGACTCTCTTGACTGTACACTTACCAAGTCCCGCATTCCACACGCTTTCTTTGGCAATTGTACAACGAAAGGCTTAAAACGTGCCCTTTTAAGCCATATAAAAACACCCCATATACAAACATCCCTCAGACTTTAAAGGAAAAAAAAAAAGACCCAAAAAAAAAAAACTCATCTTTACTCCTTTATTCTGACAAACTAAATGATGGAGTCAATAAACATGAATGTCAACTCCCATTGTCCCAATCCGACTATTTCCGACAGAGCCTGAGAGCTTCTTTACCCACAGGCACGAGAGCCTGGAAATGGCGGCTTGACTAGCAAAGTGAGCTTTGCAAGCAAGGTTTCCTTCAGACAGCATGTTTTTACCAGATATGTTAGAGCCATGGCTGTTTTCCTCATACCCATCTAGGTCTGATTCGGTTATTACCACCAATGAATTATCATCAAAATCATCTTGTTCAACTACTTCAGTGGGGAAGTCGAGAGTTTTTATGAGCAAATTGTCTGCGTTATAAGGTTTGTTGAGCCCATTGAAATAATCTTGAACAGCCTGCAATTTTTGTCGAGGAAAGATTAAATAATTTAATCAGTTTCGATTATAAAGACATACATTTGTTTTGTCAAGAAAGAAATGGGTTGCCCAGAGAGAGAAAAAAAAAATGCTCACATATCTTCTTGAATGACAACGCGCGTTAATGTTAATCAGTTGAGTAAAATGATTTTCTCATTGAAATTCGAATCTTTCATAAATTTACAAATATTAAAGACATAATTTCTTAATATGTGTAGTAGGAAAAAAAAAAAAAAAAAAAAAAAACTAAGAAGACAGTTAGAACGAATTAGAGGAAGTACTTGATCAGATTGAACTACCGAAGAGCTATTTTCTGACACTTGTATTGGTCGAGGACCAAAAAGGTCTTTTTACCAAGACATGTAAATGCAAAGCATACCTGCCACTGGGAAGAGGCCAATAAAACCCTTGGCCTAATGGACCTCACATGCTCGTATGCAGCTTCAGGAGTCATTTGCTTGTGTTTAACCTGGTTAAAAATGAAAAAAAAGGTTCATATATTGTTATTGTTATACAATAAAAGTACCTAAAGGCTAAACCAAGGTTTTTTCATCATTAATTTCCCTTTTCTGATGACACATACATACCAGGTAACACAGAACAATTGTAGTGCTACGTCCTCGACCAGCCTTACAGTGAACGTATGTAGTTTCGCCGCAGAGTGCATTGTCTGCAGGAAGTATAACAACAGACCAAAAAAAAGAGAAAATTACTAGTTAGAGATTAAATTTTAATCAGGGAATGCGAAAGCAATAATATAACATTTGCCTTCAAACTTTTTGAGTAAGTTTACAATTCGATAAGTTTACAATCTTCTCTCTCTTAAAAGGAGCTATTGTAAATTAAAATCCTTCGCCACACATCCAAAATCTTCAATCCAAACAACTCGAAACAAATTCAACTTACCATGGATAAACTTTACAGCTTTGCATATATCCTCATGTGATGGAGCAAAAAGATAGTCACGGGTTGCAATCACCAAGTGCTCAATGCCATGGTCCTACAAACAAAAAGCGAAAAAATATATCACCAAACGCAAATTACTTGACAGGCAAAGCGTTCAATAAAAAAAGAAAATATATACTTCTTGAAATGCAAGTGATGAATATTATTGCATTCATTCAGGGTAAGCTTCATCAACACTGTCAGCTAGGAAAGATTATTCAAATTACATCAAGACTTTAGCCGACATGAAACCAAATGCCATCTCGTTGATGCAACAAGACTAACCAGAATGGAAAGGAGAAAAGAAAAAAAAAAAAGTTTTGTGTTGCTTTTGCAGTGATCGGCAAATGATAAATCTCTACTAGGGAATTTTTCAAGACTATATAAATACAATGTGTGACACAAGGAAACTTAAAGTTCATGAAAAGATTCTTAAAAAGGAAACATAAAATAGAATTGAGAAAAATGAACTTTACTTGATATAATGACGTTGGGACTAAAGTCTCGTACGGTTCATTCAAGGTAACAACCCCACCTACACCAAGAACCTTCAAGCGAGGCACGTCAGTGGGAAATGGAACGGCTCCTAGCAAAACATACTGAGACAAAGCAGAAAAATGTCAATATATGTTGCAAAGTCAATAGAAAAGACTAACAAATTATTGTTATTGTTATTATATATGAACAGAAGTCCGATTCAGTTAATTTCCTAGCGCACGATTGCTAGCATCATTTAATGTAAAGATCGTCGAATCTTAAAAATATAAGGGAAAAACCTAAATCTTTGATTGTATCGAAAAAAAAAAAAAAAAAACTTTTTCCAATTTAATTTAATAGGATACTTATAATAGGAGCTTCTAGGAACTTTCCCTGAGGTCACAGCATTAAAAGAAACATATTGAAAACAACCCAAAAATACTCGTAACATTGTCCACGCTAATAGCTTTACAGCTTTGATGACATCACCAAGGCGTGCCACCGCCAAACAAAAAAAAACCTTAAACAATAATAACAACAATTATAGTAACACAGAACACTAATCGATAATGGTGTTAAGTCATCTCTGTTCATTTGTGCTCATTGCAAGCATGATCTAAAAATATGTTCATGATTCCATTTTCTTGCCATTTTCACATAGCAACCATCCCTTATATAGACAATTTTCATGCTATCGTGTTTTTACGAGAAATAAAGATAACCCACCGTGCTTTTACGAGAAAAGAGTTTCATCGGTCAAATGCAGACCAGACCAAAAAATTTACATGAAGATACACAAAAAAAAGAGTTTCATCAGTCAAAAATTCTATAAATCTTCAGACAACAATAAACGGAAACACCACAAGTATAGTCAACACAACAAAAGACACACAACACATAGAATATATATCCCACATTCACATAAAACATATAAGAGAAATTTCAAAGCATTGGAAGTGAGATATCAGATATACCTCATCAACCCTATCCCACCATCGGAACTCGGACTGGATCTTATTCCTGACGACATTATACAGCAATGTCGGGTAGAAAAGGGCACGAGCCCCGGCTCCAACTAAAACCCTTTTCGGGTCCCAAACAACGAGAGCACCACTATCATAAAGATCTCCACGGATTTGGTGGTCACCACTCTCAGAATCTCCCTCTTTCAGTTCCTCGATATACATCTCTACAGACTCAAGTTAAATTACCCAACTGAAAAAAGCACAAAATCGAAACCCAAAACAAACTAAATACAGGCCAGTTAATCACAGGCTCACGACAATGAAAACAAACTAAAGATCGGATATTTTACCAAAAGCCCGAACCTTTTTCTAAGAAAACCCTAAATCAGAACCTATTTGAACAAACAACAACAAACCCACAAACCCTATTAACAAAATCTCACAACAGATTACAACAACAGCAGCAAATTCTCCTAATTTCAACAATTTTACACCAACTTCGACAATCCCCAGAAATGAAGTACAAATCCAAATCAAGAATGGGCATTTCTCGATCACGATCTTACACCTCAAACAGAAAAGGCCCCCCCAACAACAACAACTACAGAAACAAATCTCAATGAAAACAATACCAAAAAACAAATTATGTGCTCAGAGATCAAGAAAGACTGAAATTAGGCAATATATGCCCAAGAGGGCTTTTCAATGAATTGTTGGGCGTAGTTTTCTTGCAAAGTGCGTGCGCCAAAAAAA